GACAGACTTTGGAGTTCAATGTAGAGATTTCATTTAGATATTAATTCCATTTATGTACCAACCTTTTCCATTAAAACAGACTATTAATGGCTTGTACAGCTCCACTTTCCGTATGAGCTCACCTTTTCCATCTCTCATTTCCTGTCTATAAAATACCAAGATGCATTGAGTAATTTTCAGATAAACATTTCTGTGGATGATCTTATGCAACCATAAAATTCAATTATGTAGAACTCAACATGAAGAAATAAACTAAATGATTTCCCAGTGCTTAAAAAATATATTTTTTTCTATTTTAATGCAGAGTCTGAGGCAAACTCCCTTCTACACATAGCAATAATTTGTTTTGATCCTCAGTGCAATTCTAACATTTTACCAATATGAAGGAAAGTCTCATGACTCAACTTTGCCAGAAATATTTTGTAAATCTTTGATCCCTTAAAGTGACTGCCATGTAATTTCTCCCTAAAATGTCACCCCTGAATCATGCATTAAGGCACGAGAATAAAGAAAATGATTGTTAAACAAATTCTCCTTATCAGCACCTTAAGAAATATATAGAGAATAGTATAGAGAATATGACTACTGGGGTGTAAATTAATTAAGGCTTAAACAATTGGTGCATACCTAAATAAATCTGTAGTTCCTGTCAATGTATTTTAAACAAGACCTAACCATTCACATAATGATAAAGCTTTGTTAACCTGGAGAGGTCTGCACTTCCCCTTGTTGTCCGCTCCACCATATTTGTTAATCCTATACCATATGATGGACATCTTACATCATCCAGGTATGTAAGCCTCTCAGGAACCAGCCCTGATTCATACAAACAAGGCCCTGCAACAGGAACATTGGAATTTAATGGTTTTACTCTTCATTTTCTTAAAATAAATCTGGAGTTTCCTTTTTTTATTTCAGTCATGTGCTTTGTATCAAATGAATACATGTACACGTACCCTGTTAATAAAGAGTGTTTATTGCAGACCAATGGTTTTTTATTGGAGGGAGATTAAAATCAATGTTTTCGGCACACCTTTGCATATATCAGTTCTTTTTGAGGGCAGAAAATTGTTGGTAACTTGGATCTCCGTTTGTAAAACTTAAGTTTTAGTTTGAAATGAAAATTAATGGAAATCTTAGAAATGAACCTCCCTGTCTTTCATTTTCAAGTAATTCCACTCTAAGAGAAGACTTCAATGCCTTTGATATCAGTTTACACGAGCTAGTGATGAATAATCTTCATGTGCAAGTAAATAATTTACCTACAGAAGTGATTATTTGCTCCTGCATAGTGGTGTCCTTTGTAGGCCGCCATCAAGCCTGGATTTATTCCAACCTGTAAAGAAAATACCAATACACTCATTACTTACTGAGTTTTCATCAATCTAGCAACCAATAATTATCTGAAATAACACCTCAAGTAACGCTACGGTACTTGGAAAATTAAAATCACAGACTCTCGTTCTGAAATGAAAATGTTTCTAATCCTCTCTTTGTTTTTTCACTTCCAAAATGTCATATAAAATACATCAATATGCTTACAAAAAGAATATCCAGATTGTAGTCTAGATGCTCTGGAAGCTTTAGTTTCAACACATCTTCTTCAGACATTTCTCCGAATCTTTTTACTAGACGCCTTGGCTTTTTAGGACTTTTCCCTGTGTTTTTGCTTTCTTCTTTCGACGTGTTTGTTCCTTTAGCTTCATCACAAACTCCTGATTTTTTTGTACTGTGAAATCAGAAAGTCGATTTGTTAAAATGCCTTATCCATAAAAGTGTACATCAACAGCTGACATGTTTTTCTTAAAGCTTCTATAAGTGCGGAGTGGCACAAAAGTGATCTAGTTCAGTCAAGGTAGAAATATGACTACAACTTACAAGTACGGGCTGTAACGAAGGGATTCCTTTTGATTCTGCATTCTGTAATCCGTTATCGCGCTAAGTTTTAGTCGTGAACTACATACACACCTGCACCGAACCCACGAAACATCATTCTCTTGTCCGTTCTCTTCTGTTTACAAGGAAAGTTATGCGCCCGTAAATAAACAGACCGGCGGTCAACAATTTAAATGAATATTATTGCAAGTATGCTGATTATTAATATGGCGGCCATTTGACAATGCAGTATGCCTTTTCACCTTTGAGAATTCCATGTTTCAAGAAAAAATAAGAACGATTAAACGGCGCCTTGGTGTCTATAGATTCTTGCCGCTGTTTTTCGTTGCTGGAGCTGGCATTGAGCTATTTATGATAAAGGTTCGCATTGGAAAGGAAACTTTCTGTAAGTGAGCTGAATTCATTTAATTAATCTTGTAAATCTGGTAAATGTACAATCGTCTTTTATTAATATTTGTTTTTTTTTTTTTAATCAAAGCTTTAACGATAACGCGAAAAATTTCGGAAAGATTTCCATATAACCCCATACACTAATTATGCATTCCACTTCGTAAAGACTTATAAGCATAAAGGTTTCTTCGCAACACTCTATGCATAATTAACGTAAGGGGTTATATGAAAGTCTTGCCGAAATTTCTTTTAAGTGAGAAATTTTTGTTACATAATATTCCTTATGAACTATTCATGAACAGTAAGACTTTGTTTGTCACATGAGGCGCTATGGTAGATTGCAATTTGAAACCTCCCGCCGGCCTGTAAGTATTGTAGTATTGATGAATAAGCAAAAAACTATAGAAAAGTATTCCTATAATAGGCAGTATATGCACAGCACCATACTTCAATATGCATACAGTTCTTGGAAAAAGAAAAGAATGGCAAAGCAATAGATCGCCTTTGGGACTATTTGGCCTTGCTTTAAAGTATGGGGCTGAGCGGAAATCTTACCAATGTCTGCAAACTGTAGTCACAAGGTAACATAGGCTTAAGTTGATTCCACCTAACTACAGAAACATTGGCATTTGCTAAGCTGGAAAAGTCAAAATATGTTTGAAAATCTTACATTTTTGAGCGTTTCCTTTTCTCTTATTTTTAATTAATCTATCTGCATTGGAAATACATATTTTTCTTCTGATATAAATTTGATTTCAATAAATCAGCTGCAGCTGTAAAAGGATAAACCAAAGTGATCAGTTATGTTTAAAACTTTTGTCAACCGTTGAATTTCTGTGAGTGACCGAGAAAAAAAATTTCTCCTTACAATATCCATACAATATAAAGCAGACAAGTGATGAGAATATATAGTTCAAGTATATGGATTATTAGTTACTCCAATGCCAACTTCTCCAAACTCATTTCACAAGAAATGTATGGGAGACTATTGAGATGTTGGGAGTGAAAATGTTTACCAAAAAAAATTGAGAAATGAAGATTAAACCTCTCACTTGTATGTCCAACAGATGAAGTCTATGTCAGAAAAGAGTCAGAAAGACGTCTAGAAAGAAGAAAACAGGAGCAAGAAAACACAAATAAACAGTGGAGTGTAGAAGCATAAGTTTTGAGGATGCCTGCTGGGGTATCCTGGCCTCAATATTTAACTTTCTTTGCAGTCAGTTTAGCAACTTGCCTGACAGGAAGTCAAGTGGTGCATTTATACTACAGACCCAATCTGGTGAGATTTTTTTCCTTGTGTTTTATTTTATGGTTTATGGACTTAGAAGATAGCAGATCTTGACAGATTAAACTACCCTTTAATTTATCTACATTTCAGCAAGGTTTCCTTTTAAACATGTCACAGTTCTGAAAACTTGATTAAAAAAAATCAGCTTTGATTTATCAATTTGTTGGTTGATGTCCCATGACCTTCACTTTTTTATTCTCCAGATTTCTTGTGTTTACCCTTCCTTCTTCCTGCTATATACAACATTTGTAATGAATGGAAACCTTAATGAAAAGGATGAATATTTGTTATGAAACTGAAACTTACAGCTTTCACCAATTTTGTAAAAAGTTTTGATTCTGTCAAAAGTGATGTATTCCAAGCTGTTTTTCTTGAATTACTAGGTCAGATTTCAGCTAAGTGCTCCTCTGTCCCATGTTCTAAAAAGTGAGTAAGGACTGGGAATGAGTTGGCCGGTTGAAGGAATTTAGTGGGAATGATATGTTGTAATTAACAATTATTCGCCGAAGGCAAGGTGAATATTGTCGAATAATCCCCGAGACGAAGTCAAGGGGATTATTCGACAATATTCACTGAACCTGAGGTGAATAATTGTTTTAGTATAATTTCAGAGCTGAACAACAGAGAAATTTCTAAAATCATAACACTTTAGTAACTTTTATTAACATTTTAGTTTAACATTTTATATTAACTGCGTGGAGCGGTTTATATAGTGTCATATAAGGAACCGCTCGACCAATCAGATTGCTGGAAACTCTTTGTTCAGCTCTGAAATTATACTAATAACTGATAACTCAGCCATTTTGCTTCAGATCTGACAAATGAGATCAAGTGAAAGACAGTACAAAGAGGTCAAGGGGAGAGAATTTGCTTTATTGTCAGAAGTTCACAGTCTCTTTACTGACTGAAACTTTGTACTTTTCTTCAAACTCTACAAGATATTTTTAAACCCTCTTATACAGCAACCTTCTTCTGCAAGGCAAGACTGATATTTTACATGATGAAACTGCCATTTCACATCTCATATTTTAAGTAAGAAGAAAAATAATATTCTAATATACTCTTGTTTTGTGGAATATCTGTACTCAATCAATTTTTTTTTGCATTGTTATTAACAGGAAATCCCAGATGTACCACCAAATCCAAAGGATTTACCTGAGCAAACAGGATGGAGGAAATATATTTCTATAAAAAGAGACTAGTGAATACAATTCAACTAAAAAAAGTTTGACTCTGTTGTGAGATTCTATGATAAACATTTTTCCTTCAATTTTTCATTCAGGTGGCAAATCTGTTGTCTTCAGTTAACATATTTAAAGAGTTTCAAGACTTAATCAGCAAGGACTAAGAAAAAGTGATGGAAATGATTGAGAACAGTAGTATCCTCTCTAGTTAGTAACCAAAATGAAAAGAAGCATGTTCTGCTGTTACAATAATTATTAAGAAAAACTGTCATTTAGTTGACACATTCACTGCTCTCCTTTTCAGACATTAACCAGCAAAAATTACTGCCTGTGGTCTTTTTTTGCAGCCTGTTGTGCTTGAAATAACGTTAGAACTCTGCACATGTCAAGTAGTTTTATTGTGATGTAAAAACAAACTTAAAAATAATGCAGGAAAACTTAAGGAGATTGACAAATTGTCAATGTAGTTCAAAGTAAAAAGAGGAGTCAAAAAATTAGTTTTGTTTTATGCAGAATAGGGGGATAATAACTACAAAAGCTGAGAAGGGACTTCATACCAGTACTGTTGAACACTAGTGTACATGCACAGATAGTTGGAAACAAAACTGTTCCAAAGTTTACTTGGAGGCCTTTTAAATTACCTTTACCATTGCACAAATGAAAATGTTTCCCTGAAGCCTCACTCTTAAAACTTAAAACCATACATTTGGAAGCCTACCATCAACTCACTCAAAAATACTAAAGCCTGAAGTCTTAATTTCCCTCTTTCCTTTCATACATAACAAGGGTAGTTTTTTGAGAAAAAATTGTTAGCGACAAAAAGTAATACATTAAGTATTTTGGGATATTGAAAATGAGACAAAACCTTAAAAACTAAAATAATGGATGAATGAAAAAGATATTTTTCTCCATTCTTCGAGTCAAGATGACAGGGCTTACTAGGGCTGGGCTCTAGACACTTCTTCTATCATTATCCGGGATACTGATTGCCATCCAGTGTGAGCATTACCTTGTGTATGGCCACTGGAACACTTTCCTACCCATAATTCCACATTAACCCTGCCCTGTAGGATGTTTTCACAGTATCCCTCAAGTGATCTGTGATAATGCAGATTGGGACTCCCAGATGGCCAATAGCTATACACAACAGCTTCAATTGTCATTGGTCCACTGCATTCATTTCCATTAAACTTGAAGAACCACCGGTTACATTTATTACTGCCAGAGACTCTCATATTTCCTTGGAATGAGACTTTAATGGCTGTATCAGACTGCAGCTTGTTAAATGAGCAATCCTGGAACAAATGGTAAGAGGACAGTCACTGCCAAAGAGTAAGTTGATTTATTAGGAATTAATTTGATGATGACCTTTACTTTTCCTGCCAAATTGTTTTCAAGATAACTAACATCTCTAGTCAGTTCACTGGCATTTCTCGAAAATAATTTTCAGAGGTACATCATGCCAAAAATGGCATCCAACTCACAAATTTTGATAGCATTTTCTAGTTATTTCTGTACCTTGATCTTTCCACTTTCTCTACCATCATCTTTTTTCCACACACACTGTTTCCAGTTGGTCTGTGACACTGCACTATTCACACTTTCTCCTTTCTCTCCCTTAGGCCCCAGTTCTCCTTTCACACCCTTCATTCCTGGCGGGCCACTGCTACCATGTGACCCTTCATTGCCTTTATCTCCTTTTATTCCCATCATTCCAGGTGCACCATTTTTACCACGTGACCCTTGATTTCCTTTTTCTCCTCTTGTCCCTGTCATGCCTCTTGGTCCCTTGGCACCAGGCTCTCCCTTGGCTCCATCTTTTCCCTGTTGTCCTTGCAACCCCGGGGACCCAGGAATTCCCGGCATTCCTGGTATGCCATTGGATCCTGGAATCCCTGAAAATCCCCGAGCAAAGATGGATTTCTGGAAAGAAAAAAAGGCAATTGGATCGACGTGCTAGATTGAGTGTTGAGTTAGAAAANGGAGGGGCCGATATTCTCCCAGTACGGCTCTCGCACTTGGTTAATAAGATATATATACTTAATACTTAATACTGATCACTCTCACTTACACAATCATAAATTCTGGCAAAACAGTTTTTGCACTGAATGGAAAATTAATGTGTTTGTAGAGGTCTAACTGTTGTTCAGTGCCATAAAAATAGGGGTCATCACACGTTTTCTAAGCTATCTCAGGTTTTTTTTTAATTTGTCATCACATTTTTTTCAAGGTGTCCTAACACCTCCCCTGTGAGTAAACACATTGGCAACCGCGTAGTGCGATTGCCTTGTGTGAGTGAGGCTTTCCTACTACCTCCCCATGTTAAGTAGTAGTAATGCGATGACAACAATTGATTAAACTGAAGTCCATGCGGCCGACTTTCAAAATTTTAAGGTCGGATTTTCCGTTCCTTTCCGACCTCGATAGACCTGGAGCTCAAAATGAAAAGTAAATATGCTATCGAATACTCTGTTCGAAAAATAATGGATATCGAAGTCTTAGAAGCGACGGAATAAGTTTCCGAGTCAACGACATTCCGATTCTTCGATGCGATGCGATGCGAATTATGGCCATAAAGTGAAACCCAAACTATAATGTATTTTCCGCTGTTATTCCAAGTAATTAGTTGCAGTTGTTTTAGTTTCACACCTGCCGCACCCACAATTGTACAATCTGTTTTACATGTATCTCCTGATTGGCCAGGTATTAGTTCTTATACTCTTTGCTGACTCTTGAGCCCCATTCACGCTTGCGGTTCCATACAGTTTATTCATCTTTCTGGTTTACGCTCTCCTATTCGTGTGATGTCCAACGACCAGAAACAGAGTGAGGGTTCGTTTGTTCCGCCTGAAGTAGGCTAAACGTCTTCAGGAGAGAGTGGAGGAAACTCAGCAGCCGTTGATCAAGTCTTTTCCATGTTTAAAGAAACAATTTGAGCTTAATGCTGAATTTGATACCATTTTTGAAAGCATAGAAAGTGAAACTACCCACCCAAATTTGTCCCAAATCAAGAAACTTTCCGAAGAAGGCAGGCAACGTATTCGAAAGCGGCAGAAGCTGATAAAAATTGCTGCTAAAAGCAAGGACGGCTGGCAGGTTGTAGCCGAGTACGAGTCAGACGAACTTGCATCCGGCTCC